CAGCCCAACAGTCTTATTCCGGGCAGAGGTATGGCTACACCTCCAGTTGCTCAGTGTTAGTGGTGTGAGAGCTCGAATCACCTAGTGGAGGACTGCGAGGCTATGAGGGAGTCTACCACTCCCCAAGAGCAGTTGGACTTCATCGCCAATGCTCGGCGCCTCGACCCGTACAGCAGCACATATAATGAGGGGTGGCGCCAGCATCCCAACTTCGCCTGGAGCAGCAACACCACTAAACCACCTGGTTTCCCAGCACCAGCGGGTGGTTTTCAGCAGAGGCAGCCCTTCCAGGCTCGACAGGGGCCAGCCCCACAGCAGCAGCCCTACCAGCCTAGGCAGGGGCAACCATTCCAGTAGCCCCGACGCCAGTTTGCTGAGCCAGCAGCAGCCCCTGCCCCAGATGACCGGATGACAAAGCTGGAAAATATTCTAGCTTCATTCATGACTAGCACTCAGGTTGCTATCACGTCACTGGAGGTAGGTCAGCGGAACCAGGGTGCCATTTTGCAAGATCTGCAGACCCAGGTGGGCATCTTGGCCCGCCAAAACACCACCAGGGCACCGGGGACTCTGCCTGCCACCACTATCCCGAATCCTCGGGATCCTCACCAGCACCAGCAGCTGGATGCCATTTTTACCAGGAGCGGTAAAACCATATCTGCTAATCCTGTCCCGGCCAGACAGGAGGAACCACTACCTACTTCAGCACTTCCAGCCGACGATGCAGAAGTGCGGGTGGAGAAGGAAGCCCCTGCTCCCAAGCCACAACTAGTGGTTAAGGAGCATGTGCCCCAGCTTCCCTTCCCCACTCGCCTACACAAAGACAAGCTGGAGGCTGAGTTTGCCAAGTTTATGGCAATGTTGAAGCAGCTCAACATCAGCATACCGTTCGTGGAGGCACTGTCGAAGATGCCCAAGTATGCCAAGTTCATGAAAGACCTCCTCACCGACAAGAAGAAACTTGGGGATCTCTCGACAGTGTTGCTGAGCGAGGAGTGTTCTGCTATCCTGCAGAACAAGCTGCCCGAAAAGCGCAAGGATCCAGGGAGTTTTACTATCCCTCTCACTATTGGCAGCATGCATGTAGGCAAGTCCTTGGCGGACCTAGGCGCTAGCATAAATGTCATGCCATATAAGTTGTATAAAAAGCTAGACCTAGGTGAACTTAGCCCTACTAGGATGAGCATTCAGCTAGCTGATCGTTCCATTGTGCATCCTAGGGGGATCATAGAGGATCTGCTTGTTAAAGTAGGTGCATTCACATATCCTGTTGATTTTGTTATTCTTGATATACATGAGGATGTGGATGTGCCCTTGATTCTAGGTAGACCATTTCTTGCCACCGCCAAGGCACTTATTGATGTGCATGATGGTAAACTGATCTTGCGTGCTGGGAATGAACAGGCTACTTTTTCTGTGACTGAATTTGATCACTGTGCTATGATTGCTGTCACACCTGTGCATGCCATTTCTGATCAGGTACACGAGCCTGTCGTGTATCCTTCTGCACCTCTTATTTTGCAGGACCCTCCTATCATTCCTTCGCCGCCACTCCATCCAGCCTCGCCTCCGAACAAAAAGATCAAGGAGGAGTGGCGGCCGAAGCAGCAGGTTGTTAAGCCTGTTCGGAAGAAAGGTGGAGACCACTATGAGCTGGTCCCACCTTCTGCACCACGACCACCCTGGCCGTCCGGGTACTCACTCGCCTGCATCTTGCCAGATGGCCAGGTCGAGCTGACCGATGATGGTGGTCGCATCCGTCGGGTGCAAGGCCACAGCCTGAAGCTGTACCTCAAGAGCGACGTGGATCCGCTCTTGGAGGCACCTGTTCTTTCACCTCCCTGAGTATCCACCATGGGCGTCCAGCTAAAAGACGGTAAAGAAGCGCTTGTGGGGAGGCAACCCCACCACGGTTTGACTTTCTTTCTTGTGTTTTGAGTCGGATTGTAAACCAGTTTGGTTTTGGTTTGTTTTCTTTTGTTTTGGATGATGTCTTATTGGGATGACATTGGACCTAACATATTGTGCTTGAGCTCTTTGGTTTCCTTTGGCTGTGCTTGTCTTGACTGGTCCTTTATCCAGTCCGCGTCACTCGACTGGTCCGTTTCCAGCCTCCTGCAGTCCGTGCATACTGGTAACATCGTTCCCTTTTCCCTTCCCTCTTCTCCATTGAGGGCAATGTCGATCTTAAGTGTGGGGGGATGTTTATCTTTTGACTGCATTAGATCTGTTTGTGTGCTTGGAGCCTAGTCCACTGTCCAAATTTTTAAAATTTGAGGGCTCCTAGTACGTGTTCCGTGCAATTGCCTGCTCAGTATGCTTTGAATTGACAGTTTTTATAGTAATATGCAACCTAGGGAGGTAGTGTAGCACTATGGATGATGTTGATGCATTTAAGAAGTCTCGTTTCTTCTTCATATTGTGTTGGTTGATTGAGTGAATTAGTGATCTTAGGACCCTTGAATTGTGTGGTGTTGTGGATTCTCTACCTGTCATGAACTCTTGTTTCATGTTTTGAGTTTCACAGGTGCTCGAAAATGTGCTTCAAAATAACGTCTCCCGTGCGAATAGGGCGAAAGTGTGTAAGGGGAGACGGGAATTCGTTCCCAATTTCCACCTACTACCTCCAGCCCCCTTACATGTCTTTCCCCCACACGAGGCTCGAGACATCCGCTCCTGGCATGGCCGGTAAGAGCCGGTTGGGACCCTTGAAAAAAGAAAATAAAAATTAAATAACAGAAAACAAGCAAAATAGAAAGAAAAGGGGTTCCAACCATCTTCAAGAAGAAAATAGAGCACCTTGAAAAATGTGAGTCCATGATCCTTTGTTTTTGAGAATCTCTCCATCCACGATTCATTTGTCCTCTGTTCACTATTTGCCATGATGCCGACTCGATACTAGTGCTCTCGTCGAAGAAGCTATGAGATGACTTGTGCGTCGGTTGACCTCGTAAGTTGCTAAATGATCTAGGAAGTCCTCTACCTATGATCTGGGTTGTTTGTTGCTATAGAGGTCTGGAGAGTTGCATTGGTTTGAGTTAGGTTTGCTTGGGGACAAGCAAACGGTTAAGTGTGGGGGAGTTTGATAACGATGTAATTGCACATGTTTGCGCCCCTAGTTCTTATCCGTTTGAGGGGCATAGTCGTGTGTTTTTGGCCTATTTTATGCCGGGTTGTGCTATTTTGTCATGTTTCAGGTCCCAGGTGTAAAAGGGAAGGCTAAGCACGAGTTTCGGGGCATTCGGAAGTCATTTCGGTGAAACTGAGCCAAAACACGGGCACACCTAAACCAGAACACGGCCGTGTTCTGAGACAGAGCTTTTACTGCCGAGAGCTAATTCGAGTTTGGCAAACATTGGCCAAAACACGGGCAGGGCTGAGATAGAACACGGGCGTGCTTCACCAAAGCACGGCCGTGTCCTCCCAAAAGCACGACCGTGTTTCTCCTAGTGTAATTAACACTAGCCAAAGCACGGGCGGGCTGAGGTATTACACGGCCGTGCCCTCGACCGTGCTTTGGCCACTGATGCCCTTTTAAGCAGATTTTCAGCCAAACAGAAGGGGATTCGAGTTTTTAGAGAGACAGAGCGATTCCTAGAGAGAGAAAGCGACGAACAAGAGTCTCCAAGTGCCCTAGCTTGATCTTCAACACCATTGAAGGCCAGTTTGAGCTTGGAGAAGTGCCGATCAAAGTCCAGAAGCAGGAATCCATCCTTCATAGTATGAATTCCGCGTCTGATTCTGCTTTTGCTTCTTTCTCCATGGAGTAGTTCTCCCATTCATCTGGGTATGGAGAACCCTAGATTTGTATGTTAGGTTTGATTGTATGAACCCAAGTACTGATTCTATGATTTGATTATATTCGATTGAGGTTTGAATGATTGAATGACTTGAATCCTGATCAAATTCCTGTTGTTTCTGCTTTAACCTAGAATGAGAATATTTGCCTAGGTTGATAGAGCATCCTTGATTGAAGGTAGAGAGTTGGTGACTTTAGTCGAGGAGCCAACTCACTATTCTGTACCGGATTTACTCCGGTAGTGGAGGTTTTGTTTGTTAAGGCCTCAATTTGTTTACTCCGGTGGAGGTTAGTCGCCCGCTATAGACTCAGATTGAGAGGGTCTGAAGACCTTTAGTCGAGACTTTAGGCTGTTTAAGAACCTTCCGCAGTATAACTATCATAGAAACTGAACTTGGTAATTACAATCCGGCTTAACTGCAGTCTAGGGGGAACCATATCCGGGTGACCTCTCTTAACCTGAATACAACAGTTTACTTGCTTTGTTTGTTCGGTAGTTTAGACTTGCATTAAAGTTTCATTGCTAGATAACAAGAATTCACTGAGTAGTCATCAAATCTAGGACCCGGGTTGACATTTAAACCCAAACCCGCTATACTACGCTTTAGGAAGTGGTTTCACTTGGCCAATTCCTAGGGTGACAGTAGAAGTGAGTCAGTTATGCTGCATATGAGGTCCATTACCCATCCATTATCCATCAATCTATTCCCTGACCTCCGATCCCTTTTCCGTACCGTCATCCACTCTCCATATAGTCTCCCCTTTGTTGAATCCTCAACATGTGTTTCGGGGACAATCTCTATCTCTTCTTCTCCCTTGTTACGATCCATCACCTCCTGCATTCGATGGCACTTGCACTTATCCACCGTGGCTCCATACATCCTGCAATCATAACAAATTGGATCGAGCCCTTCATACTGGATGAAATACTTAATGCCTTCTATTTTAAACGGGGACAAGAGCGGTTTTGTTAAATCCACTTCCACACAAACTCTTGCATATTTGAACCTTGCCCCCAACTCCGTCGCTCTATCCACCCTTACTGGACGTCCAATCCGTTCCGCTATTCTTTGAATGGCCTCTAGTTGAAAAACGCCACCGGCACTTTGGGCATTTGTACCCAGACAATCGAGTTCGTAATAGAGAGTTTTTCTTGAGTGCAACTATATAAAGATTTTAATAATTCAAATTCTGTAACATAAATCACCTTCTAGGCTTCTGTCTAGAAAGCTCACATATTGTGATGACTAATGAATCAGTAAATACACATATTTTTTTTACTTATCCTGCATGAATAGCGTTGGGAGAAGCATGCAACGAAAATCTGATCTATCCCTCAAGCGAGTGAACAGGTCAGGTAGGGTTTCCACAAATCCCAACAAGGAGCAGAAAAGGGAGAAAATAAACAGTTTGGGAAGCACGTCGGTAAAATGAATCTGCCATGTGTCCATCTCTTATACGTGGCGGCCCCTTCTGGATCCGTTGAAATGAAGCAAGACGGCCAATGTGTCCACATTCATTCTTCTCGGCTGCCTCCTCCTCGAAATGCATAAAGTCAGCCTCTTTTGCCTCCTCCTCTGCCTTTTCCCCTAGAAGAAAAGATGAGAAAAACCTCGCATTTTCCCTCACAGCTCAACAGTTCTGTAGCCATTACATATCTCTCCATTCTGCCATTCACGCTTCCTCTTTAGTACTGCAAAAGGGTGTGTCTTTCTTCTGTACCTGTTGTGTTCTTTTTGATGATTAGCTAGCAGAGGACTCTTCTGAAAGTGCCAGAGATGCAGCATCTCAACTCAGACGCTGCTCCCTATCACGTTGTTCATAAGATTCTCCCTGGCGCTGGCCCTTACGTTCGAGCTAAGCACGTCCAGGTAATTCTTCTTTTGCCTTCTCTATTTTCGGTATTCTCTGCGTGGGGGTCAGGGTAGTGCATATGAACAGTCTGGTTCCGCTAAATTGATTCTCCTGGAGATGTTATTTTGGGTTTTGGAAGAGTTCACTACATTTTGGCGGGTGTTGAAGAATTTGGTCGTGTCAGGTTTTTCATTTCAAAAATGTGTTCATTTTGTTAGATTCGTCTTTTGCTCTGTTTTAATAGCATTGAAGGTTGTTTCTGAAACGAGAGTTCCTTGGGAGGCTGGTGCTTGATCTCAACAGTAGAGTAGAAATTTACCATAGAAATCCTTGGCTTTCAATCCGATCTATCAATCAAGCCCACTAGAGGAGCGAAAAAAATATGGGAGAATCCATTGGTTCAGTGAGTAACTGACCTTTGAAAATTAGCAAAAACAGCTTCTGAAGTTACTGTTATGTTCCTGAATTTGTGATTACATTGGACATTTGTTGCCTTTTAAAAGGAAATGTAATGTGCAGACGGGATTTTCAGACCTGCTTGTGTTGAATTCCTCTTCCGTGTCACATTTCCACCCCATTTTGGCATTCTGTAACAGAGTCATTGTTTTTTTTTTGCTTCTTTGTTCTTGTTACAGCTAGTTGAGAAGGATCCAGAAGCAGTAATTCAGTGGTTCTTGAAAGCCATTAGCGATGGAGATAGAGTAGACAGTGCCCACAAAGACATGGCACTGGTGATGAAGCAGCAAGATAGAGGGAAAAAACTATCGAAGCTATAAGGCGGTTTAGGCATCTCTGCTCCAAGCATGCTCAAGAGTCACTTGACAATGTCCTCATTGACCTATACAAGGTAGGTAATCACTGATCAGTTCTTTAGAGAACAGATTGGTAGGGGAATGAGTGCCGCCTTTCCTTTATTTTTTGCTGTTTCGAAATTCATCGTGGTGAAATGTTTTTTTTATAGAAATGTGGAACAGTGGAAGAATGGAGGAGCAGATTGAGCTGTTGAAGCAGAAGCTTCTGATGATTTACCATGGAGAAGCATTCAATGGCAAGCCGACCAAGACAACACACTCGCATTGTTCTTCCAAGTAGTGTCTAAGAAAAGCTGACATAGCAAACTCACACCACAATGCAGGGAAACTTGGGTTGGGCATATATGTAGCTTGGAAACTATTCAGCGGCAGAAGTAGTGTACCGTAAAGCTCAGTTGATTAACCCTGATGCGAATAAGGCTTGCAATTTAAACACGTGCCTAATGAAGCAAACACGATATGCTGAAGCACGCTCGGTGCTAGATGATGTAGTACGTGATAAGCTACTTGGACATGATGATTCCAAGTCGAGAAATCGCGTAGAGGAGCTACTCCAAGAACTAGAGGGAATGTACCAATCACCATCCTCCTCCTCGTCTACGTCTCTGGGATCGAGTTTAGAAGATGCATTCGCTGAGGGGCTAGACTAGTTGATGGAGCAATGGACACCATATAGATCTAGTAGACTCCTCATTTTTGAAAAGATTTCCCCAGTCAGAGATTAGTTAGCCTGCTGATCGACACATACATACATGTATACGTACTCTTTTCGTTCTTGGCTGCAACTTTATCAAGCCCTTTTGATGAAGCTGAATAAACAGTAGTTGGGGTTGCTTTGTTTATACGACGACCATGTTTATGCGTGAGAAACGAGTGGTTTGGGAATTGGAAACATCATTTGAGGAAGTATTCATTGATGAACCTTTGTTCAATTGTGAAGAAACAGACATTACATATGCCTGCGGGACTAGCATAAGAGAGCAATCCACGGCAAGATACCCAACAAAAAGGAGGAATTAAACCCTATCCAAACAATAGAAAAGGAAAACAGAAATACAAGGCTGTTCTCACATCCTAGTTTAGCTAAAGATTTCCCCTGAAGCTGAAAGGGTGGTGGTGTGATTCTAAAGTATGAAGAAGAGAAGATCTGCGAAAAAGTAGATCAATTAACAAAGAAAGATTACAAACAGAAAAGTCGAGTTGAATGATGGCTAGGTGCATGCCAGTGGCGCGTAGAACTTGTTGTGAAGTAGTTTTTACTGACACTTGAAGCCATGGCAAACGGTTAGCCAGATGAGAAGAATCAAGGCCGCGAAGATACCGAACACGATGAGCTTCAGCTTCATGTTCTCGTACCACATCTTTCTCTTGATCTTGGTTCCCTGTTGTCTGAAGTCTTGCGCCTGTGAACGAAGGTTTTCGGTCTTATCCACCAGCAGTTCGATCTTCTCGCCACGGTCAAGAACCTTCTCAATGTTCTCCATCATCACACCTTTGACTTCAGAAACCTGAGCCTTGACTTTTGCTAGCTTGTTGATCTCCTCCGGATGATCCACGCAGTACTGCATATGTTCCCTCAGCTTGGGCCTTCATATGATCAGCATTCATTGCAGTAAAGAATGAAAAAAATGAGCACAACAGAACAAGAACCAATAACTCTGCATCCAATCCATTAATGAAGTACCCGAACGCTTTCTTGAGGCTGTTAGCTTTGGCAGTGGAAGCTTTCCCTCCTCCATATTTCTTGTTGAATTCGTCCTTGATTCGCTCCAGACATGCGATTGGGATTTGCCTGCCCGCGGATTCAACCGCAACCAAGCAGAAGGCTGCATCATTTCAACAACAATAGACCAGTCTCTGAGTTAGTTAGGTCCATTTCCATGGCTACCAATGACATATCATCAATCTCTCTCAAAAAACCAAAAATTAAAATTTTCAAAAATAATGTCTAAAAATATAAAGAATCCCGAATTCATGCATTAAACATTCAAATCGATGATTTTCATGATTCAAAAAAAACATTCAAATCAATCAAGTATAGATTTTCTTGATCCAAGAACCGTAAGGAAAATCACATGGAATTGCACGAAAATCATTTTAAATTTGGAAGAACAGAAAACACCCAGATCAAGGTTAGCTAGATGTAAAGGAAAGAGAGGAATTGCATTGAGGCATACTGAAGCCATTTTCGACGAGATAGTTGAAGGTGTGGCCATCGCAGTTATAGGTGAATTTGTTATTGGTAGAAGGAAGTTTCTGGAGGCATTGAGCGGCGATGGTGGTGAAATTGCCGCTGAACTGGGTGTAGTCCGCTAGGATCACCGTCCCTCTAGCCACGAAGCTATAGATCAGCGTCTGTTGCCCCACCATCTCCTCGTCGTCTTTCTTCACCCGACAAGAAAATTCGGAATAGGGAGGAAGAAAGAAAACAAAAAACCGAGTAAAAGTTCCTGACCCGGGGAAATGTCTCACCAATTGAAGGAAAAGAACAAGGGTGGAAAAAAATTAAATTATGGAAAACGAATTGTTGGTTGCTGTGCTCTCAACAAAACAGAGGTTCATAAAGATTCGTTATTTCCGTTACTTCTTAAATGAATTAGTGTTTATATTTAGCGAGCTCGAGGGAGGGAGAGACAGAGAAAGCGAGAGAAATAGGAGATCAATGGGAGTTGTGGAGTGAGATTGATGATTGGATGATCAATCAGATAAAAATGGCTACTGCATGAATGCAGTTTATTTGGAACCTTATCAATATCACACATTTAGAAATTGTGTATATACGCGAGCAAGGCGTATCTAGTATAGGTGGATCTATTTAAGAAAATATATATGATAAAATACATCCGTAGTCGAAACTATTAATAATATCACTTTCTATATATCAAACATTTATTGATTAATTGTTAGCCGTTCTCTTTCAAATGGTGTTCTTTGTCCTTGATATTAATAACTCAAGTTGTTGAGAAAAGTTTAATAATGAATCTTATACCAAACACCTATTCATGATTCAGTCAGACATTTACTTTCGAATGGTGTTCTTGGTCAAAAGTTGTTTAATATCAATAACTCAAGTTGTTGAGAGAGGTTAAATAATTATCTTATACATCTACTACACCCCTCTCATATGAGTCAACTTATATAAAATTGAAGTTTGCACAAATCTAAATACTATGTGATTAACAAATGAGGTCGTCAAGATTCAAATACAAGACCTCTCGATTAACTATATATTCTCCATTAGACACATAATAATTTTCAATATCAATTAACTATTGTACATAAGTAAACCATTTTACTCACGAGTTAGGGTGGGTCTCGAAACCTACCCAGTTACTCTCTCATTTCTCTCATGTACGTGAGTACAATGAATGCGACACAAATGAGGTTTGCATGTTGTCGAATTGGAGGTTCAAGGACGATAAAATTAGGGATTTAGGGTAGTGTGTATAACCAAATTTGATATTGATTGGGGCTAAATTTAAGAGGCGGCATTAAAACACTTTTTCTTTTTGGTTTGTATTTTTTTTAACTTAATTTGAATTTAAAAAATTATGCACATATTAAACAAATTCGTTATGATCTATAAAATTACTAGAAATTTACCGTGTCTTTGCTGCGGGCTTAGCTGATTAGAAAAAATGTGGGTCGGAGGATCATGATTGTTTAATGGTACTAAGTAAAAGTGTCAATTTTTTAATCAAATTCATCAATTCAATTCTTCTAATTAAATATACAACTAATCCAATTCATTTAAATCCAAATCCCATTGGAGCGGTGGATTCACTTATTGGATTTATAGATTGGATTGTTGCCAACCTATAGTTTAATACCTGTAGTTTTATACTTTACAATATGATATTTAAAATTATTTTTAAGTAAAATATCATTGGAAACCTACTGTTTGGCATCTACAATTTTTTATTATAGCATTTTAGTACTTAAAATTTTCAAAAGTATTGGTTCAATATTTAGTTTACATGTCACTTGGGTCAATGATCCAATTCACCAATTCAAGAATCCACCATCCATTTAATTCATTGATACACCAATCCAATCAACCAATTCATGAATCCAATTCATATTGCCATCTCTAGTACCAAGTGAAAAAGGATAATAATATGAATATATGATATTCCTTCTACATTGCTTCCTCGTCCTTTTTTCGCTCACTCTTATTTTCTCATCTGGTTTTGCCCATACAACTTGTGAGAAGCATGCTAGAAAAATGCATTAAACTGCGACTTATAATTGTTTTTTGTCTAAGGGAGGATAGGAGCACCGTGGAAGACTCTAGTAATGTTTCTCTAGTTTGGAGTTTGCACATGTATAGATACCATGTCCTTTTTCAGTAATGTCAAGAACCAGTTGATCCTAATAATTCGAGTTATTTGAAAAGTTCCAATTATTCTTCTTATATAATTTACTTACATTTAAATGCATCACAATGCATTATTGTTTTTAATAACATTAATTGATTGTTCCCATTACTTAGTAGGTTACAATAATAGGTGACCGTAAGGTAGATTAGCAAAACTCTAGGTAACAGTAATTTACTTCTTATTTATATATATTAAGGGTTAATACCTTAGTTTGGCCTGAACTATACACATACTTTCTACTTTGGCCCGTGGTATTGAAAATTGCTATTCTGGCATGAACTATGTAGCAAACTTCCTCATTTGGCCCGGAGGCGGGTTTGACCGTCCAATTAGACGGTCAAACCTGTTGACCGTTAGTCAATGTCCACCTCACCTGCCACGTCAGCTTTGATGACATAATTTATTTTCTGAATTTTTTTTCTTTCGATTAATAAAAATAATAAATCAAAAAAATTAATTAAAAGAACGAAAAGGGCCCATTTTTAGCAAATGACAAGAAAACAAAATTCAGAAATAAAAAAAAATATTTTTTATGTCATCATAGCTGACGTGACAGGTGAGGTGGACATTGACTAACGGTCAACAAGTTTGACCGTCTAATTTAATGGTCAAACCCGCCTCCAGGCCAAATGAGGAAGTTTGCTATATAGTTCAGACTAGAATAGCAATTTCCAATACCACAGGTAAAGTAGAAAATATGTGTATAGTTCGGGCCAAACTAAGATATTGTTGGTACCACACATTGCCACCACCCAAGTACCACTCACGTGGCAGAATCAGAATTCAAATAAATTATTTAATTCCAAGATTGATGGGGGGAGGAATTTTTGTGTGTATTATTGTGGATGTGAAATTTGGCAAAATAAGAATTGAACCGAATTAACGGTTAGTCCAATGGAATCGTTGAATCAATTATCATAGTGGTCTGATTTATTACTTGAACGATTATTGATGGACCAAATGCGTTTTTACGGTTCAACATAAAACTAACTAGATGAACCACCACAATATAAGTGGTTCACTATTTGAACCATAATTAAAAAGATACTTTATTAATGTAAACTAAGACCATCAAACTATAATTATTAATTTTATATCTACTTCCTCTTCTAATTATCCAACCTTGTTGACGACCTTAAGTGGTCCATTATCGACTGGCACCGTAGGGTTTTAGTTTGAACTAATAAATTTTTGTGATACGGTTTGAATGATTTATAAGATATTTTGGTAATGATATAAATTTGAAATTGTTATGATCAATGATAATTTAATTCTTAAATTAGTGTCATATACAAGTCTTATATGTTATATGTCATAAACTGTTCTAGCAACGATTACCAATGTAACGCTAAACCACTAACTTTTTCACTTTAGACTCCGGTCCGATTATGAAAACTGAGCAAAATACTAATTTTAAATAAATTATTTAATTTTGGGTCGGCGACCCGTCAAGACGTCTCTACGTTTGAGTCACCTGGCGAAGCACTTAGCCGCTTCTTTCTCTTACACTTTCCCGCGAAGGAAGTAGGAACACACTCCCTAGAACCTCACTCATTTGCATCTATCCTGCTGCACTGCCAGCCCGCGGCGTCAATCTCAGCCAAATCGCCGAAAAAAATGGACATGGACTTTGATATATCCTCAAGCAGACGCGCTTGAATGGCTCGAAGCCAACTCTAATTTTCACGAAGAAGACGAGGTTCGACCTACCTTCGAATCTGACGAAGAACCACCGCAATCACCCCTGGTTCCCCGACGAATCCGGCTGATTCGAACTCCGGTCAGAAGCGTCACCGTTCGGCAGTGTTAGATTCGACTACTCACGGAGAGGAAGACTCCGCTGCCGTCAAAATCGACCAGAAGAGAAGTAAAGTCGACGATGACGACGACTGACTCCAGTACTCTCCTCCACGAGACGGAGGTTTCGATGACAGGGATGAGACGGTTGTTGTTCCAATGGAAGGGATAAAGATGATGAGGAGGAGATTATTGTGTCAAAATACATATCTAAGATTGATGGCAACTTTATTCCTGTGACTGCCCCCGGAGGCGACAATAGTAGGGTTTATGCGAAGTTATGTGCAGTAGAAATGGAAGTGGCATCTAACTCTAAGCAATTGAACTGCAAATCACAATCAGGCGGTAAGATTAGTTGGTCTATACTATATACAAACCTGCAGGATCTAGTTTCACAGATTCTTCGCTCTCATTGCACTTATTCATTTCCTCGGCAGGTCTATTAATCGAACCTATCAACGTTCTTTTCGAGAAGGCTGATCAATTGGCCTTCAACAAGGTAGGCAACAATTTGAATATGGCTCATGCAGTTTCATGATTGAAATTCCGAAGAAACTGCAACGCTGATCTAGTTTATGCTTCTCATAGTTCTTCTTTTGGTGCTTTATGCATTGAAAGCTACTGCTGAAGTTCAGGATGATGCTGTTCTGCCTCAAACATGTGTTGTTCCTGGAAAGATTTGGGTTGATAAGTATGCTTCTAATTCGTTCACGGAGCTACTGAGTGACGAGCAGACAAACCGAGAGGTAAGTGGTCAATATCATGCATAGCTTCCTCTGGTTATGGTCAAGAGTACATAATCGTGTCTATCGTTGCAGGTTCTCTTGTGGTTGAAACAATGGGATTCTCGTGTTTTTGGATCTGAAATTAGAAGTACAACGGATGAAGTTCTGTCTGCTCTTAAGCGTCACTCAACTGTTTCTCAACATCAGAAACATTCTGATACCTCTTTCACGAGGAAAGGCAGAGAGCACAAGTAGGCTAATGGGCATGTGCGGCGTTATGATAGGATGGAGCATGAAAATGATAATTCTAAACAAGTGCAGGACTTAGGGGTCGTTTGGAAGTTGTGATTTCAAATGGTGTATTGAGCTAATTCATGTATTTGTGAGATTAAGTCATTTTTTTAGGTTATATTGAACTAGAATACATGCATTCACTTTTTGGAGGCCCCACCACAATCACTCAAAATTGAGGGATTGTGAATCTCTACTTTTTGTTGAGATTGTTCACAATCACTCAAATCAACTTTTATGCCTTTACAACAAAAACATAATCTAAACCTCCAAACAAAGTATTTGTCTAATACATCAATTGATTCAACACATCAAATGATAATACACTAATTGACCCAATACATCAATTTGAAGAATCACAACTTCCAAACAACCCCTTAACG